TTCATTCAATCACTTGTTATTCTTATTCAAATTCTCTCTCTTTCTATATATATGTATATATAATTTACACATTGATAGGTTTATTCAATTTGATTTTTATGGAGTAACATGAAAAATTCAGATTCAATTCGCAGTAAGCGACATCGATTTGATCATTTGCCCAATTCTTCTCAATTTTCTCACAAAAAACACTGACCTTTGGTTATCAACACAGCTTCAATACGTATACAACCTCTTGGATTGGCTCTAGTTTCAACAACCCAAACTTCTTCATCGGAATCGATCAATCTTGAGCCCTACAGACCCGACACCATCGGCCGAGCCCATCGACACTACGATTTTGTCTTCGAGGACAACCGAGTCAGTAAGAAGCATTTCCAGATTTTATTTGATGCTCTGAATCGTAAAATATGTATATCTGATGGTGTGTTTTGGTCTGGTTGCGGTGGGTTTTCTAGGGTTAGGGTTTCCATGAATGGGGTGTTTGTCAATGGGGTTAGAATTGTGGGAGGGGAAGTTGCTGAGTTGGGTGCGGGCAATGAGGTTTCGCTTGTGTGTGGAAATGAAGGGGTTTGTAGTTTGGGGGTTAGGATTGCGTTTGTTGTGCAAAGAACTGTTTTTGTGGAGGAGGTTTTTAATGAAACTGTATCTAATTTTGGAGAAAATGGATGTGGTAGAGTTGTTGCGTCGGTGAACTTGCGTTTAAGTCAGTGCAGACAGATATTGCATAGCAAATAACCCTATATTGTCCATTCAAGCTAAATAAATAAATAAAGTAATAATAATATATAATGACTTAATAAAAAATTAGGATTGCTACACCTACAATATGAATGATTCGGATCATCAAATGGGATCACGAAGGCCTAACAACACCTATTGTTGGTAAAACTAACTGAAGAGAAACTTTGCCCTATTTTGCATATAATTTTAAGTGTGTCTATGATTTGTATTTTTTAGTAATTTTTGTGTTGTCTTTTTTTTGTTTTTAGTAAAAGTTTTATTAAAAAATATTTATATTTTTAAATTCTACTCAATGGACCAGAAAATCAACAAACAAAAAAATATATATTAGGATATAAAAGTCCATTAAGACAACCAGAAAATAAATAAATAAATAAAAAGAGTGCAATTGGTACCTCATCAATTATTTTGGATTTTCTATTTTTTTGATTTTCCAAAAACACTTTTTAGAAAATTTTACTTTCTTATTTTCCCTTTTTTTTTGTTTTTACTGAATTTTTGTAATATTTTAAGCAATTTTTTTTATTTTATTTTGGACAAACCTAACATAAATACACATAAAAAGTATAATTTTTGTAAAAAAATATTTTAAAAATTTACTAAATACCAAAAATACAAAAAAAAAAATAGAATCCAGTGTATTTTTCGTATTTTTATACATTTATTAATTTTTTAAAATATTCTTTCACAAATTTTTTACTTTTAGATACATTTAAGTAAAGTGCATCTAAAAAAGTAAAGAATGCTTAAAGTTTTAAAAATATTCACTAAAAATAAAATAAAAAACATAAAAAACAAAAAATTCAATTTTCAAAAAACTTAATTCAAAAAACTCAAACCAAAACGCACACAATAATTTTGGGACGCCCTCTCTTACAATTGAGTCCACACACTTACTACATCATGAAATAGGATTTGTGAGAATACACCTCCATCCCCACCCATCCATTTTTTTCCAAATCTCACCTTCAAAACTTATTCATTCTCAAAACCTTGAAAATCTTTTGGCGGCAATATTCCAACGGCAACAATGGCAAGCATTCAATTACATACACTTCTCCAACAATAGCAATGAGCAGAATTTTTTTCGGAAATCACAATTACAAGAGACGAGAAGAGTACAACAATATAAGTTTAGAGCAGGTTCAAAACTTTGATGGTGTTCTTAACTAAGAGGAAATTGGCATTGTAAGTTAAGTTTCTTGAAAAATATGGCAAAAATAAAGAAAACTAATCGTCATTTTTTTAGGATTAAACTTCAAACATATGATCTATATTTCAGAACACAAGCCCGACATTGTTTATTTGTTCGGGAATAGGTAACCGAACATTGCTTATTCGTTCAGAAATAGATAATTGAACATTATTTTCTCACTATAAGGTCATGAACAAGTATATGGAGATGAAGTAGTAATCATCTAATAGAAGTATATAACTTTAAATTGACAATATTAGAAAGACCCCAAGGAGAAGAACAGTACTTGCAAGTACAGTGAGCCCATAAATGAGTGACAAAAAATCAACCAAAGAAGCATGAAAGTGAATTGTGTTGTGTGTGTGAAAAGAGATAATATGCACAAAAAAAATAAAAATAAAATTCAAGCAGATTGACAAAATTCACGATCAAATAAAGAAAAAACTTCTTAATCACCATAACAAGTAATCATAAGTGGTGAGCAAATTTTTTGCCACCGGTTTTGGAAGGTTCCACCGTCGTGGGTTTTGTTAGGGTTTTGGGAGATAGGTTTTTTTGGGATATGGGGGTGTGCATTTGAATAGGTGTAAATGTTTCCACAATAATAATTTTGGTATTATTTGGGGGGAGGAAAGAAATTTTAAGGGTTTTAGAATTTATAAGTGATGGTCCAAAGAAATAGGTGGTCCAAAATAATTGATGGGGTGCTAATAGTAGCACTCTTAAAAAATTCACTTTTTGGTTTTTTTCTTTTTCATAAACTTTTTTTAGAACTTTTTATAAAAAAAAAAATTACTTTTTTTATTCTTAAAAAATTCACTTTTTGGTTTTTTTCTTTTTCATAAACTTTTTTTAGAACTTTTTTAAAAAAAAAATTACTTTTTTTATTCTTCTACACTAGATGAATTCAAAAAGTATGAAAAAAAAGTATAACATAAATTTGCAAAAAAAATCACCAAAGGCCAAATATTCGGGAAAAAAATGTAACTTTTTTAGCCCGATTCCAAACTCACAAAATAGTTGGCATACATTTTTTTTTATAATCAACATGAGAGAATTAAAAATAAGATATTACACATAAATAGGATTTGAGACCTACTGATTGTCTAGCACATGTTTAGTAATTGTGTGATACCAACTAAAGTATTATTGAGACATAAAAAAAATTTCAAATTTAATCACCTTAATATTATTATTTTATATATTTATATTTTTTTTATTCATATTCGAAAAGAAAGTGAAAGTCGACCACGAGGGCAAAAAACCTAGCCCCCTTTTTAACAAAATTTCTGTATCTCTTGTGTGATGATGGGCACGAGTCACCCTTTTTTGAAAGCATCATTTTCATCAAATTTGTATCAAATTAAAAGAAAAATTAAAATTTTTACCAAATTAAGGATAGACCAAATTCTTCACTAAATTTCTAACAGTTATATTTTTATTCAAATTTGATGAAATTTTCAAAAGGATAAGAATTAATGATGATTTTCTTTCATAAAAATGATTAAAACATGTTTATTGAATGAGTTTGAAATTTTTCAAAAAGATCAGATGAAAAAAGAGTAAGGATTAAAATATTTCATATCAAATCAAATTTCTATTTAAAGTTTCACTCAAACTTGATAAAAAAATATAAAAAAAAGAAGGTAAGGATTGAAGATACTCTTAGAACTCCTAATCTAGAAGAAATGAAATATGTTCAAGATCTTTTTTTCGATGCTATATTCAATATATAATGTGCTCATAAATTTTTGGCCTTCTGGTGTTGGATCTGCTTATGAGATCACAAATGAGCTTTGGATAACTATATGGGATATGGCATAGTTATGGGCCAGTTAATTTATTTATCAATAAGTCCTGTTAATGTATAAATAACTATTAAAATGATTAATTTCTGAATTACATTGAGAAATTTATTAACTTAACAAATACAACTCATAACTATACATATAAATAAAAAATAAAAGTGAATAAGTTACACTAATAAATTTCTCATTTACCAGACTAATACATCAATGAATTTCTTACTCAGGACTTTTGAATAAATAAGTCCAGTCAATATAGGCTAGTAATTATCCCTAAATTTATAGGGTTATTTGATGAAAAGCCTATTTCTATGGATATGTTATTTGGTCTAATGTTTAATTTTTTTTTTTTGGGAATAAAGACACATGTCGAAAAGTCATCAGAAAAATCGTTGGCGTCGAAAAAGTCGTCATCGGTGGTGGCAGTAAGGTAAAGACATACGTGACATTGAATAAATAAGTAAATAGATAACGACACGTGTATAGATAAGTGAGATTTTAATAGATAGTTGGACAGATAAATAACATATGTACAAATAGATAGATAGTTAATCGTTGAACAGATAGATCCAAAAGGACAAATAATGTCCTATTGGCCCAAAATTTTTTAAAGAGCAATGTTACATCTACCGAATTTTAACTTGCTCGAATCGTTCAAATTTGTGCATGCCGGTGGTCTAGGTAGTCGATCAGCCGATCATCTAGCTAGTCATCTTGTAACAAGGGTGACAGTTGTAATTAACACTATTCTATATATATATATATATATATCTATACTATTTATACTATTATATTATACAAAGTGAAGGTTAAACTTGATTTTCAAGTCTTTGTTTACTTCTCATAATGTCATATGGACCTTTGATCTAAGAAAGAATGAATTTATCTCTTAAACAATCGCATGTGTCACCTATGAGTACACATAATGCTTGCTTGACATGTGTTAAAATAATACATGTTATTTTAACACATTATTTTATTTTATTTGGATCACAATTATTTTATCTAAGTCAAATTATTTCTCTATCACATCACTTTAAACTCAACCCATATTTCATATTTTTTTATAAAAAATCAAAAAATAACATCATCCCGCCCCCAAGGGAAAACTGGAGGGAAAATAAAATTGAAAAACAGTATAAAAATTTGAGCAAAACCTCTTCTTTATTCTATCATTCATTCATTCAATCACTTGTTATTCTTATTCAAATTCTCTCTCTTTCTATATATATGTATATATAATTTACACATTGATAGGTTTATTCAATTTGATTCTTATGGAATAACATGAAAAATTCAGATTCAATTCGCAGTAAGCGACATCGATTTGATCATTTGCCCAATTCTTCTCAATTTTCTTGCAAAAAGCACAGACCTTTGGTTATCAACACAGCTTCTATGCATATACAACCTCTCGGATTGCCTCTGGTTTCAACAACCCAAACTTCTTCATCCGAATCGATCAATCTCGAGCCCTACAGACCCTACACCATCGGACGAGCCCATCGACACTGCGATTTCGTTTTCGAGGACCGCCGAGTCAGTAAGAAGCATTTCCAGATTTTATTTGATGCTCTGAATCGTAAAATATGTATATCTGATGGTGTGTTTTGGTCTGGTTGCGGTGGGTTTTCTAGGGTTAGGGTTTCCATGAATGGGGTGTTTGTCAATGGGGTTAGAATTGTGGGAGGGGAAGTTGCTGAGTTGGGTGCGGGCAATGAGGTTTCGCTTGTGTGTGGAAATGAAGGGGTTTGTAGTTTGGGGGTTAGGATTGCGTTTGTTGTGCAAAGAACTGTTTTTGTGGAGGAGGTTTTTAATGAAACTGTATCTAATTTTGGAGAAAATGGATGTGGTAGAGTTGTTGCGTCGGTGAACTTGCGTTTAAGTCAGTGCAGACAGATATTGCATAGCAAATAACCCTATATTGTCCATTCGTAAATGCGATTTTTCACATAGAGTGAATAGTGTTCTAGGTTTGATGTTGAGTAATGTTGGTAAGTTTCCCGTGGGAGGTGTGTCGGAGCTGAGAGGTGGTAATCTTGTTGAACCACCCTCCGGTGAGGACTCACGTGCTGACCAGAGATTGGAAAATGTAAATGTAAATGCCAATATGGTACAGTTGAGTTCAGTTATTCGTGATAGAGAGACAACTGTGGTTTATGAGGCTAACGCTGCCTCTGAGTGTTACAATGTTAATGGTAACCATTTACAACAAATGGAACATGTTGGAGCTCCTCTTCCAAGCAATGTCGCCAATGGCAAACCTAAGACTTTGTGTTTGGATTCAGCTGTTAAAGATGGTTTACCATTACAACAAATGGAACATGTTGGGGCTCCTCTTACAAATGGTGTTGCTAATGGCAAACCTAAGGCTTTGTGTTTGGATTCAATTGTTAAAGATAGCGGTTTACCATTACAACAAATGGAACATGTTGGGGCTTCTCTTGCAAATGGTGTTGCTAATGGCAAACCTAAGGCTTTGTGTTTGGATTCAATTGTTAAAGACAGCGGTTTACCATTACAACAAATGGAACATTTTGGGACTCCTCTTGCAAGCAGTGTTGCCAGTGGCAAACCTAACCCTTTGTGTTTGGATTCAACTGTTAAAGATAACGGTTTGCCATTACAACAAATGGAACAATTTGGAGCTCCTCTTGCGAGCAGTGTTGCCAATGGCAAACCTAAGTCTTTGTGTTTGGATTCAACTGTTAAAGATTACGGTTTGCCATTACAACAAATGGAACAATTTGGAGCTCCTCTTGCAAGCAGTGTTCCCAATGGCAAACCTAAGACTTTGTATTTGGATTCAATGGTTAAAGAGAACACTCCGCAGTTTCATTGGGGTGCACATGATGAGAATCAGATTGGTTCAATTTCACCCCCAGGGAATAAGTTTTATCTTAACCGGCTTCAAACTATGGGACATGGTTCATTGGACCATCATGATGTTGTTTCCTTGCCAGAACGTCTGTATCCCGTTGAAAGCCTTTCACAAATTTTTATTGCTACTTTTACAAGCAATATTTTATGGTAAGTTTCTTTTCTCTTCTTTGTTTCCATTTTGTTTCTTTATTTTATTCCACATGTTGAAAAAAAAAAAGATAATTTATTTGTACAGGTACTGTTTTGCAAGTGTGGCATGAGGTGCAATATTTCAATAAATTTGTCAAATAGTGGCATATGGTTATAATATGCATGCATAAATTGATTATTTGATTTCTCTGTTGTTTTACTTGTTATTTTATTGTTAGATATGATCATTCCTTTAAATTATACCAATCAAAAGTTTCATATTATAAAAAATATTTGAAAATTTATTTGTTATTCATTAGGGAGTGCATTGGTTGGAGCTCATTGATTCTATATACAAAGATGAACACATTCACACACATATATGTGCACGTCTTCTGTTTTTAATTCAAAAGTGTTGTGATTTTGTAGGTTTTTATCATACTGTGATATTCCTGCCCACCTACCAGTGACAATTGCATGCCACAACCGTGAGGGGTGTTGGAGTTCATCCCCCGACAAAAGAATCTCAGTGCCTTTCTCAGATTTTCCCAATTTAGTTGTGGTGTAAGTTACCTTTGCATGTATAGTTGTTTGGTACTTACCCATTGATGAAAACAACATGCTGAAGTTACTTATCAAAAAAAAAAAAAAATGATGCTGAAGTTGTTAACCCATGTGAGCTACTAACAGTTCTGTAATATAGTCCAATTATGATAATAGGTATCCTCCATTTCCCGAGGTTATAGCCTTTGGTAATGACCGCAAACGATCAGGCATAGCCTGCCATCATCCAAAATTGCTTGTGTTACAAAGAGAAGAAAGCATCCGTGTTGTCATTACTTCTGCAAATTTGGTGGAAAAACAGGTGAATCTTTCTGTTCTTAACATATTCATGATGTTTTATTTGTAAAACTGGTAGTGAAGAGCCTTGTCCCCATTTTTATTTGATATTCTAACTCTTCTTCATATTTTATAATGCTCTCCTTATAAAATTGGTGAAGAATCTTTTTGTTTTCCATATTTAATTAATATTTTGAACTCTGATATATGAAAACTTGGACTTCTATTGCACTTGAGTTAAAAAAAGATTTCTATTATATGTAACTAATGCATTTTTTTTTGATAAATAAAGATAAATATTATTAAAAAGTATCAAGATGAAGCAAAGAATACAAAAGGCTAGCAGCCTATAACTGTTCAGAAATAAAAAAAACCATGAAGTCAAATCATTCACAAAATTTATAAAGGCTAACACATCTGGATCCACCGATACTGTGACCTAACTGTGAAGAACCAAAAAGAGCCTATTCTGTAGTCAAGACACCGAATGAGATGTCCCCTAAAAAGTATGTCTAATACGTTCCAACCAAATCAACCACATTAAGCACTGAGCAGTAAGCAATCACCCCTTCTGACGGCGCCTCCCAACTCTTGCCCCCCTCCAACTATGAAGAACATCCCAAACTGAACCCGGCTGAACCCAGGCCAACCCAAACAAACCAACAAGCGACCAAAGCCTAGTAGCTATAGAACAATAAAGAAGCAAATGATCCGCAGACTCAGGATCACTACAATACATGCAACACCAATTTACCAAAATATGCCGACGTCAAATTAGATTGTCAATAGTCAAAATGCGCCCTAGAGCTGCTGTCCATATGAAGAAAGCAACCTTGGAAGGAGACCCTGAAACCCAAACACTCTTCCAAGGACACACCACCCCTGCCCCTCCCACAAGCTCACGATAATATGAAGCAACCGAAGAAACCCCTTTGGAAATATGTAACTAATGCATTGCTGAAGTTTCCATCCAGCTTGATGGTAAGGTGTTGGGTGGCCATCATCAGGCTTGGGTTTAAGGCCAATCATCTTTGCCTCACTCTAGCTATGTTTCCATTTGTACCAAAAAATAGAAAAAATAAGTAAATAAGAAAACAGAAGGAAAAAAAGAAAAGAAAACGAAAAGTCTAATGCTTTGCCTTTTTACTTTTATTACTTGTGAATGCCTATCTTTTGCTCAGGCACTCACAAGTTGCAATGTCTTTGGTTATTCCTTCTTGTTTTCAACTACACTTATTTCAATGTAATCCTCACAGCTTCTAGTGGTTATATTAACCCATATTGTTTTTCTGTCTTTTCACTATTTGGCAACTTCAATTTGGATGTTGTATTTACCATGGACACACTATTAGTAGTGTTCTGCTTCTTGTTTTGTTTGGGACTTCTTCTCTCACTGTGTGTTTCTGAGTGAGCAAGTGTTTATGGATGGCAACTCTAAATTGTATTGCTTTTGAATTTGCTCTGTTTTTTACTCTGTATTTAGGGGGTAAATAGCCTCAATAAAGGACACAGTGTTCCAGATTTCTATCTCTGTCATTCTAATCATGTACGGTGTTTTGGATTACAAAAAGGACATGATTACTTCAAAGGCATGACTTCAAATAGAATCAATTGGAGGAAATGGATTGGTATAGCCAACCCAAGTAATTGTGACCAAGGCTTGTTGGGTTGAGTTTAGTTGTTGAGCACATTACTAATTGCATGGTATTATTGGTCTTGATTTCTACGAAAGACCTTGCTAAATGGATAGCATTTTTGTTAATTAATACTATTAATTATAACTTATGTTAGCGTGCATATTAGAATCTTCTGCACAAACATAATTAGTGTGATCATCTTGTGTAGTGTGTTTCTCATCTGGTCTTCTGTATTCTGCAGTGGAACAGTGTGACCAATACCATTTGGTGGCAGGATTTTCCTCGTATCAGCAGACCTGATTATTTATCTCTTTTAACTCAATTATCTGACGGGGACATAAATCAATATTCAAAATCTGATTTTGCTGCTCAGCTGGGCGGATTTATGGCATCTCTTGTTGCTGATGTACCTAGTCAGGCCCACTGGATCCTAGAATTGACTAAATATGACTTTAAGGGGGCAGTTGGCCATCTTGTTGCTTCTGTACCTGGAATTCATTCTCGCAGGGCACCTTCTATCTTGGAACCCATGTACTTCTTACCTGTGAGTACTTCATTTATCTGCTTTTGTGTGTGTGCTTCTAGCTTGAATTGAAAAGCTGATTTGTAGTAGTCAAGACAGTATTAAAAGGTCATTGTTTTTTCTTATTCTATTATCTAAATAATGGATCCATCACCATTCTATTTGTGCATCAGCATTAGTAAATGCCAGTGTTTTACTTAAATATATGCAGACCTGAGCCTGATTTTCTTAGCCTTTTAATGGCGGCATGTTCTGGATAATGAGGATTATGATTTGGAAACCTGGGAAGCTTGCTAAAGTTTGGAGAGTTTTACCCTTGAAACAAAGTGTGGGTATCTAGATCGTGCTTGGCACGTGGCGAGCCGTACGAGCATCACGTCATCATCATTGCACATCCACGTGGCAAACCCCTGAGGCACCACAATGAGCTAGGGTTGTGTGCCTAGCCTAAGTAGGGGCATGTACACCAAGTATGGAAACAGGACCATGGCTTACCTTAATAGAGCTAGCTCACCTAGAGCTCTCTATGGTTCTTTATGACTCATAAGAAATATATTCTTTGCCCACTCACCCTAGCTCCATAGCAACATAGTTGGACCCTTGGTTCACGTATGTTCACTTAGTTGCCCAGGATGAGTCCTTGGCTCACCCATGCACTCACCCCCTTGGCTGCCTAGGTTGGGATCAGGACCTAGGCACTCTCATTTGGGATCATCGGAGGATTGTGGATTGGAGGCTAAGACCTCGGGAACATCAAGGTCATGTACCTGTCTTCCTGCAGTGACAGTTCCACCTTGACTTGGCTTAGAGAAAGGGAATGTTAACCTTACACTTACACTTGTGTATATGATACGTCTCTCAAGATATTATACCTACACTTGCCGCTCCTATGATGCAACCTTCCTAAGGACTTAAATCATAGGACACAGCTAGTAGGGCTGATATCATCCTCTTGTCGAGTCGAGGAAAACTTGCCACTTGTCTTGAGGTTGCTTGGGTTCCAATACTCCTAGAGTCTATATAATGGCATCATAAGTGCAGTCACAATCATAACAAGAACAATAAGAATCATACAACAATATATACAAAGTGTTCAAGGTCTCTCACTGCCACCCCTTTCCTCTCTAAGCTTGCCTTGGTCTTCTCCTCTTCTGCCTCTAGTGATCTCAGGCCAATGAAGTGCTTGCCATCTTCCCAGAGGTCAACAACTGATCGCCTCTAACTTCTTTTACCCACACAAAGTTTAGTGGCCATTTATACCCTCCTTTAGTGGCCATTAAACGAAGTTTAATCTTTTGGTTGGCTTTTACTACCCTTTTCTTTATTGTCTATTTTGTAGGGGTGAGCGTGGTTCAGTTGCATTTGGTTTTGACGTTAACCAAGACCAAAACCTATGGTTTCATAAAATTTGGAACCAAACCGAACCATGAAAATCTTGGAACTAAACCAAACTAAACCATGAAAATGCGGTTTAGCTCGGTTTGGAACCACGGTTTTCATGAACTTTGTTATTATTCACAATATAATCATAACTAGTTCAAAGATCAAGCAATATATTATCATTTTACAAACAAAATTGTTTAAATGATTGTTTAGAGCTAGTTATACTATTATATAAGAACACACTAGTAAGTAAGGGGTTAACAACTTATGAATATATATAGGATACTAATAAAATACTTGAGTGTATACCATAAATAACAAATTATACGTATGCATATTTTTAAACAGTTTGGTTTGGTTCCAAACCGAAAACTTAAATATAAAACCACAAACTGAACCGTGAAGTACGGTACAATTCACCTATTTTAAAAATCAGGACCGAACCATGCATTGAGGAAACCAAACCAAATAGTGCATTTTGGTCTGGATTGGACCAGTTTGTAGTTTTTTATTATTTTATTTTTATGCTCAGCCCTACTGCTTTTGGGGATGCATGTTCTTCCTTCCCTGTTTGTACTTCCTCTTTTTTCTATTAAATTTAATCTTCAATACAAAACAATAATATGGAGGAGTAGATCATTATGGGGTTTTCTTTGTTGAGAATGTTGTGATTGCCGAAGTGATTTATAGAATTGCATCTTTTACTTTGATGGCAGGGTGAGCAATGTGCATCGCAGTCATATGGTGTGAAGGTCCTAGGTTCTATTGAAACATCTGTAGTTGGTTTAAGCCATCTTTTTCGCACTTCAGCAGATACAAATGGGTCACAGCTAAAGAAACTTGCTTCTTTCCTTGGAAAGTGTTATGAAAATGCAAATGGGATGCTGGAGATTGTTTTAAGAAGAAACACAATATACCAGCTGATGCAAATGCTGTGAGCATTCTTGTTCCTAATCCAGGAGAGTTCTCTGAGGGAGGTACAAGACACTCTGCTTAACACTTACTCAGCCTATATCTTGTGTGTGTGTGTGTGTTTTTTTTTTTAATCTTTTAAATTTCATTTATATTGTAGATATTTGTGAACATAGTTTCATTTATAAAACTGAACCAAGTTATTGGGAGTGAGGCTTGATACATGCATGTTTTAAATCCATTTGTGAGGCAAATCCCGTGATGTACAATATATTTATAGTAAAACACATGTAGTGATGCTTGCATCTATAGTTTGTTTACCGTGTTTGATAAATGATATGTTGAAATATGCCATGACATATTAGAGCATTCAGTGCAAGTAATAGGTGTTGGCTATACTGAAAGACCACAAATTATACACTAACTAGAAGCATGTGGTGTGTGCAGGAAGTATTCAACTCGCCCATCTAGTCTAAACATAGTCTATTGGTTTGTGGTTAGGATTTCAATACAATAGTGGTGTGGCACCATTTACATAAGCATAAGGGGAGTTGTACAAGTTAGAGAAATAGGTGGATTGATCATTGAACCATATTTAAAAAAAAATTCAGGACAGTTAATGACAATTTTTATGCTGTCAAGTATTTTTGAGCCATTATCATGTTTATTTTTGTTATCAGAATCTTGCGATTCGCTATTCGATTTGCAATTTTTGCAAAATTGATACAAATCTATAGGTGAATATATTTTGGAAGTGAATCTCTAGTGAATCGCACGATTTGCAATCGATTCACGATTCAATTTATTTTTTACGATTCATGCAATTTTTAAAACTATCGTGTCCAACATATTTTTTACTCTTTTTTTCTCCATCTTTTCGGTGAAAATAACATAATACAACTTCTAATAGCATTTAATACCAAAATAACCAATATATTTACATGATTTGTTATTATTTTAGTGATCATGGAGTTTTTAATAGGATCCAATTATATTCAGTCAGACCCAACATGTTTTTAACCTTTCTTCTCATTTTTTCTTTTAAAAAATCATAATATATCTTTTAAAAATGTTTAAAATTAAAGTAACTTACATCATGAATTATTTATTACTATTTTATTAAATTAATTATAGTTGAATATTTCATGGGTGAGATCAATTATACATTTTAAAATGTTTTAGGTTTTAAAATAAAATATTCTAAATAATTCTTTCTTATTATTTGGTCATTGTTATTTGGAGAAGTATGTATATTTATTGTCCAAATTTCAATATGGTTAAATTATTATTACTTTGAAAATTGAGAGTTTGTTTTTGTTTACTATCTTTATTAGCTTGGTTTGGGGTACACTAAATAATACAAAAAGTCAAAAAGTCACTATCCTATTTAAGTCACATCATCTTATTTAAATCACATCACCTCTCTAACACATCACATCAAACCCAACCCAAACCCAACCCATATAAGCCAATAAGTCAAAAAGTGCACTTTTTTAGAACATCCCAAACCAACCCTAATAAGAATGGTTGATAAGAAATATTTAAAAAAGGAAAAAGGTAAGATGGTGATCTTATATAGGAACCCTTGTTAACTTCTTACTTATTAAACTATGTGATCACCATCCAGAACAACAATTTCATTGATTTAAGTCTTAATGTTTCATATTCATAAGCTATGTTTAACATCTAAGTGTATAGATATATTTTTCTAAGTGATTTAGAATAAGTGACCAAATCTTTATGATTCACGATTCGATTCGCGATTCGGCACGAGGCCATTTCAATTCACCATTCGAATCCCGATTTGACAATTTATATAAATTTATGTTGAAGAGTTGCTCAAGTAATGCAGATTTTCTCAATCACTTGAGATTTGTTGGGTCAAAACTCTTCGATCCTTAGATTTGGGGTTTATTGATGTCTAAAACTTGTCGTTCAAAAACTACTTGCAAAGACTTATGATATGGATATATAACTACTTGCAAAGACTACTCATCGTTCAAAAACTACTTGCAAAGACTTATCATAAAACTTATGATATATAACATATGACATGGATATATAAAAGATTAAACTTTTAGAGTTCGTTGATCTAACAATGTAATATAGTAGGGAATCCAAATATTTGATAAATAGTTGTAGCGGTTCATGTGTTGATTTTCCCGTAACATGGGGTGATGAGTTCGAGTTTTGTGTGTCAAAGCCCCGTTGAGGAGATATGTTTTAATTTTTCCAAAAGGCTAGCAAAATTAGTTTAGGGTCATATCTAAATGTACCCCTACTAGTTTGAGCAAGTTCCTTATAATTATGTTTTAGACAATAGACCTATTATGACTGCTTAAATGGGTTGATGTTTAAATGCTTAGAAAGCTTACATAGGGGAGGGTAAGCAAGCCAGCAAGGTGAGTCCAAGACCATCCTAGTGCATGTCGCTTACTTTGCCGCCCTATTGAATTGTAGTCTGGATACTTTGCAGTTTGCTCCCTTAATCATAGTGCTTTTATTGCCTTAGTGTGCCTCTCATTGCTTTGTTGTGCCTGTACATTGCACATTAGTTTGTGCCTTTATTTGTTGCTCATTTGTGCACCATGGGTGTGTTTTCACGCTTGTTGCAAGATAATCTTTGGCATGCTTGCTTGGTGAACATCCAAGGCAAGCACCACATAGGCCCTACGCTAGTAAAAAGTGTTTATCCATGCATTTGGCTACATATCTTCATTCTAAATGGCCTTGTGGTAAATGGTAATCAAATTATGCTTGTACCACCAAAAATTATTGCATCTAGATAAAAATTGAAAACCTGAGAAAAGATGCTCTTATCTCTCTCTCTCTCTCTCTCTCTCTCTCTCTTTTAAATTGGGCTTTAGTAGTGTACAATATGAGCTCTAAATCAGTATTAGGCATTTTGTTTTTTGGGGGGAAGTGGATTTTTGTAGAAACCCTCATATTTCTAAAGTAATGTTGTCAAGAGCGCTAGGCATATTAAGCAGAACACTAGCATGGTTAAAGTAGCGTTAAATATGTAGACATGAATTCATTTTCTATTCCAAATCCATTAAGTGCTTGCCGTTAGCTTCTCTTGCCCTAATTGAGGTTTTTCCTTCGATCCCAAAAGTGGCTCCTGAATATAAGTCCTCATTTGTGGCACTACATGGTGTTTCCATGTTGCATTTCTTGCGAATGTGATGCTTTAAATTTGCATTTATTGGAAGTTGATCTTTTTCTCCATGTGTGTTTGGGCTATTGTGCTGTTACTACTGCATTTTAATTGTCTGTTTCGCTCCTTGCACTAGATTGCGTTCAACTTGGGTTTCTACCAAGAAATATTGCAAAGTGGGTTGCTCCTTTATCAAATAGTGGCTTATTCAGGTTTTCTGGATATGTTTATCCAAAAGAAGTCCTCGTGACTGCTTTAGAAGGAAGCACTAGCTTAGTACAAATGATACTGTATGTGTCACAGGTGATGTTCAAGTCATATACTGGATCCTTTCCTATAGTGCAGACTTTGTAGCTTATTTACTATGATAGTATGTTTTATGCCAAGTTTTTGTGGTGTTATCTTGTTCAGGGACCTATCTTTTCAGACATATCAAAAGTAGTACAATCTGAACATGTTTTTGCAATATGCTTGTTAGTTGCATCAATTCAGAGGTCTACAGGCCTTTGGCGACTTCAAGATGTAATAGTGATGAAGTTTGTGAGATTATAAGCTGTGTTTGGTGGAGTTTTGGAAATTTAATTCCACACCTTGGTTTGAGTGCTGTGTTTGATTAGAATTTTCAAACATTGATTTCACACTCACTTTTGAAAATATGTCTACCTGGTCATCCTCCCAGATGTTCCCCCGGAAATCCGGCCGGTTGACCGGAACAGTGTTTTTTGTTTTGTTTTGTTTTGTTTTTTTTTTTTTGGCACTTGTTATTTTTATATTTTAAATAAAAAATATTTTCGGAATTAAATTTTTTTTTTTATGAGCTTTGAATAGAATTTTGGGTTGTGTCTGGCTATGAATTGTAAGTTTTTGAATCAAATATCATGTCACATCAAAAATTTCAAACTCAATTGAAAACTATTTTCAAAACTCATGACCAAACAAATTTTCCACACTCAAATCATAATTCTAAAACTCATAAACTCAAAATACAACTCTATTTTCAAATCATAATTCTAAAACTCTACCAAACGCTACCATAGTTTTTCCTTTAGTACGTGGAACATTCGACTGTGGTGAGATTTGTGATTGGGAGGGCTGCATTGGAAAACTAATCATATGCTGTATTCTTTGGGGCCACGTATGTAATTTTTGGAGGTGTCCTCAAATGCAACTGGGAAAAGGTGGAACATTTAGATCCTAGGGGACGATGGCCCTCCATGCTCCTGCATCTCTTGGTACACAGTTTCTTATAGTTCTAATGAGAAACCTATTTTGCATGCACACACACTTTTTATGTGTTAGTCAAGTGTTAATTCATCACTTTGTTGTCGAAAGTTTCGGTTTTGCATATATTTACATGTTTATGAATGCATAACTCATTTTATGTTTTGAAAATTGTTAGTAAAATATGGTACAAAAGATTTGAGTCTAGGTTTTGTCTGAGCATAAAAAACTTCTCTTATTTATTTATGTTTCTTTTTCCTGTTTAGCAAAAAGGTATTTGTTATACGGTCTTGTGTGAAACTAAACCCCAAAAGCTAGCTATTGAGGTGAGGGTGCCTTCATGCTTATATACTTAATAGTACTTTAGTACCAAAGTGATAGGGGACTTCACTCAACAGTATTAAGATTTGTTTTATTTTTAACATTAAAGTTTCCATCAGATTTTATGTGCCTCTTCTTCATGGTAAGTAATGAGAAAATGAGCTATGAAACTACTTGAGCAAGCAAAAGCACCTTAAATTGGTGACTACTTGGAAGTTTTATATTATTAAACTAAAAAGGAAAAAATAAATAAATGAGAGTACTAAATATTGGGATTATGGATCAAAGTAAAAAGTTCAATTTGAATCTTGTTGAAGCCATTTTTGCCAAATCGCAAATCAAATTGTGAATCGTTTTGCTAAAATAGTGAATCTTGATAATTCTATGTATTTATATACATAATATAAATACATACAGTGTTTAAAATAAAGTAAATTATCAATAGGACTAAATTATATATATGTATATACATATAAAATCATGTATATCAATATAATTAATTAATCTCTTCTATATATTTTCATAGTTTGGTGAAAACAACGCTGTTTCATACATTATGTAAACAAAAATAGAAGTAGTATTGAATCGCAGTGAATCATGTGAATCGTAGTGAATTGCATTGAATCATAAATGGAATCTTACGATTCACTCAATTTCCAATTTAACAGCACGATTCGAATAATTTTTTGTTGAAACTTATATCGAATCGTATGAATCAAATCGTGAATCGTTCGATTATAATAACCATGGTTGAAGCTAACAGTTCTTTAAAAAATTCAATCTGAGTAGTATGCATTTGTTCCTGTCTGCGAAACAGTCATCTTATCCTTCTCTTCCCTTAAGTTTGACATTTATCTTCTTTTTGTTTCTTTTGTTTGTATCAGGTTTTAAGTCATTACAAATGGCCGGAATATTTGGAAACTGATTTTGTTTTCGGTGAGTGTTTTCTTGTATAATACTAGACTCTTCTCCAGAAATTTGAAATATATTTATCTCAGTTCACTTATATGTTCTGTTGTCAAGGTTCATCCTCAATTGGGTCAGTCACTGCACAGTTTTTAGCTGCATTTTCAGCAGCATCTGGAAAGACATCAGTGCAGTTCTCTGAGTCTGACGAGTCTGATCCAGATGTAAGAAACTTTTACTATTTGCTGTTCATGTAGCATGAATTAAAATCTGAAATACTTTAATCTTTGGAATCAGTAGTTCATTTATTGTTAGTTGTTTACAGTGGGGCTGCTGGAGTGCAAGTCAAGAGATAAGAAACCCATCCATCAGAATCATTTTTCCCACAATTGAAAGAGTGAAAAATGCAAGTTGTGGTATCTTAGCTTCAAAATTCCTTCTGTGTTTCTCGCAGGTATCCTGACCTTTGACCTTTTGATTACCTGGAAGATAGTTTAATGGTTTTTAACTGGAATCCATGTGTTATTTTGCTTTGTTTGTTTGCTTTATTAATAAAATATTCCTGATTATTTATATTTCATTAAGGTATGGGATAAAAGTATAGGTGTGCAACTAAGTCCCACACAGCCCTACGGAGGTTTATGAGGAATATCTCATGTCTAGCCTGGTTAAATCATATATTCTGAATTCAAAAAAAAAAAAAAAAGCATCTTTAAATCCATGTGGGATTGGTGACTGCCTGCCACTTCAATTGGTATGGATAAGGGTTTGTGGAAGTAAGCAAATATCAAATCAGCAGTGCTTTCAAGTGAAACATAAAATCTGTCTTCTTTTCCAGTTAAACCCTTGAATGTTAGTACCAATATGGTTTACAACTATGACATCAAAAAAATAAAAAATGAAGATACAATAGTTTTTTTTTTTTTTTTTGGGCAGCTGTGACTTCTCCATTATTATCTTAGTGAAGACTCGCTCATTTAATCTTGTTTAATAATCAATTGCCTATTTTTTATTTCTATTTTCCTTTTAACACTTAATTTACTGAATGCTGTTTTTTTTAACAGAAAACATGGCAAAGGTTGAGAAACGTAGGCATGCTTCATGATGCGATTCCTTATCCCAACAACAGAGTTAATCATCCCATGCATGTCAAGGTAAACACATAGTTCTGAAGTCTGTCTCTTCCAAGATTCCTTTCTCTTTTTTCTTTCTTTTTTTTTTTCTGATCGGCAACAAAAGGAAATTTTATTAAAAAGGAAGGAGTACAAAAAGAGGGCAAGATGTCTTCTACAATAGAAGAGAAATCATCAATCACCAAAACTAAGAAACAATTTAATCATTACATAGCACTTTTCAATCTCTAGAAGTAAAATTATTAAAAAACGGAATCCCCTTAAAAGGAGTCGAAATGGAAGTCCAAAACGATGCCAAAAAACCACCTCTTCCCACATGGATGCCGTATCATCAAATTTTTCCTCAAAGATCCTTGCATTCATTTCCAACCAAAACCCCCAAAACACAATGCCACATCACTTTTGCTTTCATCATACTTCCAAAGTCCGGAAAATCCATTGAAATCAATACTAGACAAGTTCCCAGAGCCATCCATTGGACATCAACCAGATGAAAGAGATGATGCTATAGATCAAAGTCACATGACAATGCAAGAATAAGTGATCCAAAGGCATATTAAGTTTATTTCGTGAAGTTGAGTGCATTCTTCTATTTCTTATGGATTCCCCTGCCATTCTAAACGGTTGTATTCACACAGATGTACACCTAGGGTGAATGCAGTGTTATTCACATTGCTGAAGAGATCTTGGTGCCAGGATGTCATGTACCCTTGTCACCTTTAAAAAAAAAGAGGCCAAATGGAAAACTTACCTTATGAGATGGAAATCTAACATTCTGTTCTGGAATGGCGATTATTTGATTCAAATGACAACCATAATGGATCTCAGCTCAATTCCTATGAACTTATGTGTTAGGTAGCCATTTCACATTGAAACATACTTCACATGTGTGGAGCGTCCAACTTCTGAGGATTCTGCTGGATTACCATCTCATGATATTTTTTAATGTCCTATGAATTCAATCACTTCTCTCATTACTAAATCATCCAGACCCTTGTCCAGAAACCCTTCTTTGTTTTACAAAATCCACAACCACTTGGGCAAAATGCAAACTCTGTTTTAAAGAGAGTCTTTCTAAATGTTTTCTTTCTTTTATTTGACATTGCATCAAGAGTTCTCTGCCTTCTGACAAATAGCCTGTTAATCACCTTCCAAATTGCTAATACAAATTGACCTTGCATTGAAATTAACTTCCAGAGAGAAGTTGCAGTGGCAAGAAGGCAGAACCCAACCCACAAAAGAAGGGAAAATTACAATTCTTTGTTAACCAATGACCATGACTGTTCTGCTACAAAGCTATCACCTGAAAGCATAAATGTTGACATTCAAATTTTTTGAATTGATCTGACAAGGCCTTTACATTCAAAATTTTGCTTGATATAGCTTACTTATTTGGAGCGTAATCAAAGAATATTCAAAGGTGTTGAGGAACCTCTGCATAGAATCAAGGGTTTTTTCTTGTCCATTTTATATTGCTGGTCTTTTGGGAGGGTTTTGCCTTCCATAGACACTCTTTTTGACTTTATAAGTTCTGTCTTGTAAGAATCCTAAGGCTTTTTGGCATATGTATAGGAGTTGTCCTTTCTGGTCTTCGGAGGTTATTATGGTGTAACCTCATTCCCTTTTTGTATTGGGCTTTCCCTTTCATTTTTAGTTAATGAATTTTAGTTACTTTAGCCATATACATATATATATTCTGCATACAAACATCATATTTAAGCCACAGTCCTGTAGCAACTCAATTCTATCAATCTTTAATTGTCTTTACTTATAAAATTCTTCATGTGGCTACAATTAAGGACACTAGGAACGTGACTCAACTTTTGAGGAGTCTTAAGGCTTATTTTATTTACCTGGACAATTTCCAGAGGTGCTAGCTGTGTGTATATATATGTTCCTTCCTCTTCTTGCATAGGAAGTTCCAATCTGTAGTGCTGCTTCCTTGCCCTAATTTCTCCATGATGCTGCTTCCATACCATCTCTGTCACTTTTATTCTCTTCTTTTTTTTCTTCTCATTTTCCAAGTGTTAACATTGAATTGAATATAGAAGAGATTTTCAATTTGTGCTCAAGATCATGCCTAGGTTTTCATGTATACATGAATGATCGTGATCTCAAAGATTTGCACACCATATGATGTATCTGAGTAGTCTTTCAATAATTTTATATAATAGACGTATGGGAAGAATGTTCTTCCCTAAAATCAGTATTTTTTGTGTTGCTATGTCCTAGTATTATGTGAAGTTACAATTTAAGCCACATTATGTACTCTTGTGCTTTAAAACATCTCCCTAGTTGTCATTTCTATTTCAATTTATGTTTTGAAAATTGCTGGTAGTTAAAAGATAATAGAGGAGAGAATGTATGGTAAAAGCAGGTAGCCAGAAGACGCTTCCAGTCTAAGAAGGATGCTTCATCCTTTGGATGGGTGTATTCTGGGTCCCATAACTTCAGTGCCGCTGCTTGGGGACACCCAATTTCTAATTCACTCAGGACAAAGGTTGTTGGAGTTGTGAAGACAAATTCTGTATTGGGTTCAAGACTTCACGTCTGTAACTACGAGCTTGGTATCGTTTTCATCGTTCCACCATCAGATGCAAACGGTAGTCCCAACCATAAGAGTAGGAGTTTGGATGATATCATATTGCCATTTGTCGTGCCTGCTCCGAAATACAGACCCAGTGACACACCAGCAACAAAACAGGCTATGAGAGAAGCATTGGCTGAATGGGAGAGAGAGATATCTCTGGAAGCAATTGCATCTGGAGAATTGATGGAAGAAGAGATCCCAGATGAGGAAGAGGAAGTATTGGAGGCAACTGATTATGTCGCGAAGGAGCGGGAAGATGAGAAAGCTTATGCTGATATACTATGGAGCCAAAGTTGATTCATCTGAGCTTCTGATTAAATTGCTTGTTGAGAGAAAAGTAATAGATGGCTTGAAATGTTCATGTATGTACTTCCTCCAGAGAAATGTAAAATCTGAAGAGAATGTTGTATTCTATATCTCTAGATTAGATCGGAGGGGATTTGATGTATATACACTTGGTTTTAGGATTGTAGATTTTAGAGGTGCCATTCTTTGCGGGATTTGAAGGGTTGGTATACCAAAGGACTATTCTTTTTATTGATTTGTGATTGTATTGGGGGTTGAGTAGGTCTTTAGATTTCCATTGTTTATATACTAGTGGCATGAACTGAAATAAAGAAAGAATGATATTGCAAAAAAGTGTTGATCTGTCTTCATTTTCATGCTTGCCGTCAATTTTTATAAGCAGTGGCCTTGGAGTTTCCTATTTGAAGTTGGTTACACCAGATTGATTGGAATAAATTGTTAAAATCTTCAGTACTTGGGACCCTATGTGTAGGAGTTTTTTATATTTCCTCTCGAGCAATGTTAGGAACATATAATCGATCACAAAATAATTTACAAAAAATGCAATAGATGGTTAGGGTTAAACCTAGTTATGATGGCCAAGCATTCAAAATAAATTTCAATTTGTCAATACATTTTTTGTGATCTATTATGTATTTCTAATATATGTTCTTAGCATTAGTGTTTCTTATTTGAGCAACAAAAGTCATTTCATTATTTGTTTCACTCCCTATTCATTCTTTCTTCCATATACCTCTTAAGTTTTGAAAATAACGGGATTTCAGGCAAGTAATTTAGGGCTCCCATTGAGCCGGTGTTAAGCTTAAAATCCTGTTAATTTGAGAATGTTTTTGTCATTTCATTGTAATTTTTATTATGGTCATGGGCCAAGTTAACATATAAGAGCTTTTTATATATTAATAATTAAAGTAAGAGAGATCTGTATGTATTCCTAGTTAGGAAAAAAAAAACAAGATAACGTAAGTTCAAAAATTAAAAATGAGATTCGCATATTTGTTAGATATTTTTAAGGGAAATTTGTACAATTAATTCAAACAATAATTAAAAGAAACATAAAATAATTGTCATCACAATGACCAATTAATTTGACTTGCCGAAGTTTTGCTACAATCATCGCTTAGACTTGTTATATATTAAATTCAATATAATAATTTCGTTTAAGAAAAAAGCATTTAAATTCACAATATTAAGTATTTTTTTATTTAATTAATTTCACAATGATATATATATATATATATATGTATTTGCCAATCGGTGAGAGAATAATTACAAATATACGGAACATTATATTTAAGGAGCATTTATTCATAAATTTCTCTTCACTTACTTGTATTTCACTTAGACTAAATTATTTTCTTTTATTCCAATAAATCTTATGGGTGACATAGTTACTAAAATATTCCTAATAATAATAATAGGGTGAAGTGCGCATTAATGTTCACATTGACAGTGTGAATGTTCCGTAATGTGAACATTCACACAATCAAATTTATTTATTTATTTTTATTTTATAAAATTATATATTGAAGGGAGATTTTATTTGATAAATCTCGGTAACTAGGTTTTAAAAATATAAATCTCATAAGAAAAAGTATTTACAAAAAAATTATGAATTTTTAAAGTTTAATAGATATGAAGTATAAAATAGTTCAAAATAATGCATACCAAGTTGCTAAGGATTGAAGAAATATTTGTAAAAATAAAATTATCTATAAAATACATTAAATATAATAATTAGAATTTGATAGATCAAATATTCAAATAATAAGATTTATTATAATATATGTTATAGGCTAATTGAGATACAAGTATTTTAAAGAGGAATTCTTAATAAATTCTTCTATATTTAACTGATTAACTGACCAATTAAAGTCCAATAATGCTTGGGTGACCAAGTCCAACCATCACAACAACAAACAGTCCAACTCGCATTATAGAAGAGAAATCAAGTTCAATAATACTTGAGTAACCCTGGGCCTGGTCCTAGATGGCCAATTTCCCTGATTGTGGCGTTTTGAATATTTTAATCCCACTTTAGGGTGTGTTTTTAACTTTATTCCCATTATAGGGTAAAACGGTTTTGCTAATGCCGTTTTCTAGAAAACGGCTTTTCAAAAACCGTATTTTGCGATTAAAATAATAATAAATTTTGGACTCAAAAAACGGCTTTACAAAAGCCGGTTTTACTTAATTTTTAATTAATTTTGAATTAATTAAAAACGGTTTTGGTAAAATCGTTTTTACATTTTTTTTTTAAATTTATATTTTCAACATAAATATTTTTTGTTCAAAATTTTTTTTAATAAAAACCGGTTTTAGAAAAGCCGTTTTTCAACAATAATTTTTTTTTAATTTATATTTTCAACATAAATATTTTTTGTTCAATTTTTTTTTAATAAAAACCGGTTTTAGAAAAGCCGTTTTTACATTAATTTTTTTAAAATAAATATTTTATGACCAAACATATTTTTTAATAAAAAACGGTTTTAGAAAAATCGTTTTAGAAAACGGTTTTGGTAAAACCGGCTTTACATTAATTTTAATTTTTTTAATTTATATTTTTAACTTAAATATTTTTTGATCAGAAATATTTTTAATAAAAAAAGGTGTTAGAAAAGTCGTTTTAGAAAACGGTTTTGGTAAAACCGGCTTTACATTAATTTTAATTTTTTTAATTTATATTTTTAACTTAAATATTTTTTGATCAGAAATATTTTTAATAAAAAAAGGTGTTAGAAAAGTCGTTTTAGAAAACGGTTTTGGTAAAACCGGCTTTACATTAATTTTAATTTTTTTAATTTATATTTTTAACTTAAATATTTTTTGATCAGAAATATTTTTAATAAAAAAAGGTGTTAGAAAAGTCGTTTTAGAAAACGGTTTTGGTAAAACCGGCTTTACATTAATTTTAATTTTTTTAATTTATATTTTTAACTTAAATATTTTTTGATCAGAAATATTTTTAATAAAAAAAGGTGTTAGAAAAGTCGTTTTAGAAAACGGTTTTGGTAAAACCGGCTTTACATTAATTTTAATTTTTTTAATTTATATTTTTAACTTAAATATTTTTTGATCAGAAATATTTTTAATAAAAAAAGGTGTTAGAAAAGTCGTTTTAGAAAACGGTTTTGGTAAAACCGGCTTTACATTAATTTTAATTTTTTTAATTTATATTTTTAACTTAAATATTTTTTGATCAGAAATATTTTTAATAAAAAAAGGTGTTAGAAAAGTCGTTTTAGAAAACGGTTTTGGTAAAACCGGCTTTACATTAATTTTAATTTTTTTAATTTATATTTTTAACTTAAATATTTTTTGATCAGAAATACTTAGGGCTTGTTTGGTTTGTATCTCAAGATATAATTTTTGAGAAATTTTTTAAAATTTTTTTGTAGTTCAAATTTTTTGAAAAAAAAATTCCAAAATCACTTTTCAAAAATTTCCAAAATTTCAAAGTGTTTACAAAACCCACCAAGGAGTGGGAATAAATATTTTATGTTTTAAATATTTATTTATTTTTTTAATGTGCACTATATTTCGGGACTTTTTCCATATTAAGCCAAATTATCATCTTAATTCCCAAACTAGGCCTAGTTTGGACGGAATTCTCAAACTAGGCTAAAGCGCTATTACAAAACACGCTTTCACTGTTTGGGGCCGAAAAGATGAACATTGAAAGCGCTAGTAGAAATCACGCTTTTAATTAAGAAAGCGTGCTTGCAAACCACGCTTTTAACATAATTTTTTTCTAAATTAAGAAAACGCTATTGGTAGTGTAGTTTTTTGTAAGAATGAGAACGTTATTTGTTATATTCAATGAATAATGGTTACATTATTGGGTTCTCACCATATCCTGTTTGATTATCTGATGGTTGCTCCACCAAACCACATGGATCTCGATAGTAATTGGGCATGACAAAATGTCGCTTCCCAAACCTATCATGATAAGCACAAGAGGCATCTAACAAAGGAAATTGTGTTTCATCTTCAGCATCGTCACTTCCCCTTCCCCCTCCTCGTCGTGAACTGTCACCCCTTTGCAAGTTCCTACCACCTCTGCGATTCCGACTCCCTCCCATGAACCATGTAGCCATGCTAATTTTTTAAAACAAATAAATGATAATTTCGTAGGGCGAAATGAGTTGTAAGGTTGTGTCTTCACCTTTAGTCGTTTATATAGTTGGTTGTGAACGGCTTTAGAAAGATGCCTCTGCATGACAATTCCACATATACGAACAAGGTATGAGTTGTCACTAGAATGAAAAAACAGAGTAAAGCAAATACTGTGTACCAAGTCACGTGACTTGACAATCCATCTACATATACCGACAAAGTAAGGGCATGCTCACTGTAAGGTAAATCAGTGAATTCACTGTTGCCATGTGACTTTCTGAATTGAGAATCCCGCATATATCAATAAGAGATGAGTTGTCACTGTAATAAAAAAATCGAGCAAAAAATTGAGAAAACCAAAATTTTGTGGTTAATGATGTAAAAGTTTATGGCTTGGTTACGATATTTTTTATTATGCCAATTTGTAGTTAGGTTATGCATGATGTAAAAATTTATGGTTTTGTTGTGGCATTTTTTGTTACGTCAATTTGTAATAGGATTACACATTTTGTGGCAGGTGCATATGGTAGCATTTTCCATATATCTAAGCTTGAATAACTCAATTTAGATCTGTTGTTATTGCATACGATGTAATGGGTTAGGCTAGGCTGTGGGCTCATACAAGAAAATTATGGGCTTATTGTAGGGCTTGGTCCAAATGGGCCAGACTTCTATATCTAGAGGCTCTGAATTATAGGATTTTCCTTCAAAAAAGGTTTGATTCCCTTATTAGATGTGGGCTTTTTCTTTTTATATTTGTTTAGAGGATCTTTCCTGCACATATTTATAATTTTCTTTTTATGTACTAAAAAAAATGTAATTAAAATACAAGGAAAAATATGTTAAGTTTGTTGGGAAGTTTTCTCAAACCTATTATATTATTATTTGAAGGCATTTGTTATTCCCAAACTTTTAGAATTATGAACTTTTTTATCTTGTTTTTTCTTTTTTTTCTTGCCATTTCTATTGACAAATTTAAAATCCAAATGTAGAAATTAAAATTAAATCTTCTAAAATATGCCCCTCCATTCCTCGGTCATTTGGCATATTAATTCTATGTTGATCATTCAAGAGGTAAAGTCTCAGAAACTTACGAAGTCCAAGTGTCCATCAATGGCCGTAGGGGGTTCGAGGACAACAATGTGATATTCAATCACCAAAAACTCCA